ACTGCAGCCCCGGAGCGCGCGGCCGGCCCTTCCCTGAGTGGCTTTAGTCCCGGGTGGTTTTAGTTTTGTTTGCACAAAAGCATTCTTTACCACGAGCACGCGTTGCTTGTGTGATGAGAGAAAGACCAAACCAGCAATGCGTTAGTAAACTGGAATCCTACAAGCATCAGGCGCCGGCCCGGTGGGCTCGAGCCCCCGGCCCGCCGCTGCCGGCACAAGCCGGACCCTGAAACCCGCAGCGGAGAGCGCGGGCTGGGGCGGCCACCGGGTTCTGCGCCCGCGCGCGCCGGGCGGCGGGGGGCGCCGCGGGGAGGGCGAGGCGGGACCACGGCGTGGACTCGCCGGGCTCGGGAGCGTCCCGCACGCCCCCGGCCGCCCCGCCGAGGGCCGTCTCGACCCGCTGCGGGGACGCGCGGGTCCGCGGCGGCCGTGCGCAACCACGCATGCGCAGCGCCGTGGGCCGCCGGGAACTCCAACTCCCGCCGTGCCCCGCGCGCCTCCCGGAAGTGGCCGCCCGGGTCGGCGGCGGCCTCGGCGAGCCGGTGGGTGTGGGGGGCGGCAGCGAGGGTCCGATGCGGAGACTCGGAGCCCGAAATGGCTTCGGCGGGAGGCGGCGACCGCGAGGGCGCCGTGCCGGACGCCGACCGCCCGCACCCGCGGCCCTTCCTGATCGGGGTGAGCGGCGGCACCGCGAGCGGGAAGGTAAGGCCGGCCGGGGGCCTCGCCGCTGAGCCGCCGCCCCGGCCGCCGAGGTGCCGCTCCCGGGCTGACCGGGCAGGGCCTGGCCGGGGCCGGGAGGAGGGGCTGCAGGCGGGGAACCGTGCTTGTGTGTCCGCAGTCGACTGTGTGCGAAAAGATCCTGGAGCTGCTGGGGCAGAACGAGGTGGACCACCGGCAGCGCAAGCTGGTCATCCTGAGTCAGGACCGGTTCTACAAGGTCCTGACGGCCGAGCAGAAGGCCAAGGCCTTGAAGGGGCAGTACAACTTCGACCACCCAGGTAGATCGGGGCCGCCGCCGGGGGACGCGCGACCTGCCAGTCGAGACCCGGGGACCCCGTGCGGGCTCGCGTGTGCCCCCGCCCCCCGCCGCCCCGGCTGCGGGGGTGAGGCCGGGGGCCTCGCTGAGCTCGGTTGGAAGCCACCGCCTCCCCTCTGCCCGCCCGCGCTGCTGCCCCGGGCCCCGTGCTCAGAGGCTTGGGGGGTGGGGAGCAGTGAGTGACCCCGCGCCCCGGCCCTGAAGGCAGGGGAGAGGGGGCAGGGAGACACCCGCCACTGGGGCAGGGTCCCGCCCTGGCCGGCCGGCCCGCGCTCCCAGGGTTCTCCCCGGGAAGAAAGCGGGGAGGCCTCGCCCCTCCTGGAGCTGGCTGCTTGCGGGTGGGACGGGCAGAGGGTCCCGGCGCCGCCTGGTGTGCTCCCAGGGGCGGCCTCTGGTCTGGGGTCCTCCAGCCCAGCACCGCGGTCCCTGCTCATCCCGCCTCTCGCTCCCTGGCCCGCCCGCAGACGCCTTTGACAACGACCTGATGCACAGGACTCTGAGGAGCATCGTGGAGGGTAGGACCGTGGAGGTCCCGACCTACGACTTCGTGACCCACTCGCGGTGAGCGCGGCCTCTGCCGTCTCTTCCCGGCTTCCAGGCCCCCGATGGCGTCTGCGCCCCACAACCCTGCCCCTGCTTTTTTTTTAAAGATTTATTTATTTATGTGAAAGGCAGAGTGACAGGGAGAGACAGATTGTGCACCCACTGGTTCACCCCGCAGATAGCTGCAAAATGGCCGGGGCCGGGCCAGGCCACAGCCAGGAGCCTGGAACTCCATCTGGGCCCCCTCGTGGGTGGGGGTCCACGCACTCGAGGCGTCTTCCGCTGCTTCCCCAGGCACGTCCAGCAGGGAGCTGGATCGGAAGCAGGGCAGCCGGCACCTGAACTGGCAGTCGCAGTGCCGGCCTAACGCACCGTGCCGCCGGGCTGGCCCCCCGTGTCCGTGCCAGGCGGAAGTGGACATGAGCAGGGCTGTCCCCCGTCCCCCACAGGCTGCCGGAGACCACGGTGGTCTACCCTGCCGACGTGGTCCTGTTTGAGGGCATCCTGGTGTTCTACAGCCAGGAGCTCCGGGACATGTTCCACCTGCGCCTCTTTGTCGACACGGACTCCGACGTCAGGCTGTCCCGGAGAGGTGAGCGCCTGGGCCGGCCGGGGCGTGGGGGTGACCGTGGGCGGCCTGTGTGCCCCGGGTGGAGGTGACCGGGTCCTGGTGGTGACCGTGGGCAGCCTGTGCACCCTGGGTAGAGCCGGCCGGGGCGTGGGGGTGACCGTGGGCGGCCTGTGTGCCCCGGGTGGAGGTGACCGGGTCCTGGTGGTGACCGTGGGCAGCCTGTGCACCCTGGGTAGAGCCGGCCGGGGCGTGGGGGTGACCGTGGGCGGCCTGTGTGCCCCGGGTGGAGGTGACCGGGTCCTGGTGGTGACCGTGGGCAGCCTGTGCACCCTGGGTAGAGCCGGCCTGGTCGTGGGGGTGACCTTGGGCAGCTTGTGTTCCTGGGGGTGACTGTGGATAGCCTGTGTGCCCTGGACGGAGCTGGCTGGATCGTGGGGGTGACCGTGGGTGGCCTGTGCGCCCTGGGCGGAGATGGCCGGTTGTGGGGTGACCGTGTGCCCCCGCCCCCCGCAGTTCTCCGGGACGTGCAGCGGGGGCGGGACCTGGAGCAGATCCTGACGCAGTACACCACCTTCGTGAAGCCAGCCTTCGAGGAGTTCTGCCTGCCGGTACGCACTCGGCTTCCTCGGACACCCCTGCCCCCTCGCGCCGCAGCCGCGGTGCCCAGGGCTGAGGGCCGAGTCACAGGCGACAGTGAGCGGCCACTCAGCGGCGTGCCCTCACCCTGGGCGGGCGTCTGACCTGTGAGTGTTCGCTGGCCTCGGCGCAAGTGCGGAAGCAGTGCCGTCTCCCCCTGAGCGTGGCCACGCTTGGGCTTCTGTGCTGGGCAGGGCGTCGCCTACGTGGCCCGGGAGTCTGCAGCCAGCACCCAGGGAACAGGCGAGCCTCTGGGATGGGAGAGGCGCCTCTCTCGGCTGCTCCGCTCCTGCGGCTCCTGCGGCTCCTGCGGCTCCTGCCCCGTCCGCTGACGGCCCGGCTTCTCAGGGTGCCCCCAGCACCTGCGCGCACCCTCGGGAGGAGAGCACTCACGGAAGCCTCCTTGTGTCTTGCAGACCAAGAAGTACGCGGACGTGATCATCCCGCGCGGGGTCGACAACATGGGTAAGCGGCCGGGCCTCCAGGTGCCGGGGCCTGGGACCTGGGGGCCTTCGGTGGTGCTGGCTTCAAACACGCCTCGCGCCCTTGCCGGCGGACAGCGTCTCGCCAGCTCTGCGTGAACACGGCCAGCGAGGCGTGCACGCTCTGAGCGCTGTCTGTCTGCTGAGCCGAGGCTCCTGTGCCATGGGGCGGGGCGGGGCGGGGCGAGGCTCCTGTGCCGTGGGGCGGGGCGGGGCGGGGCGGGGCGAGGCTCCTGTGCCATGGGGCGGGGCGGGGCGGGGCGGGGCTCCTGTGCCGTGGGGCGGGGCGGGGTGGGGCGAGGCTCCTGTGCCGTGGGGCAGGGCGGGGCGGGGCTCCTGTGCCGTGGGGCGGGGCGAGGCGGGGCTCCTGTGCCGTGGGGCGGGGCGGGGTGGGGCGAGGCTCCTGTGCCGTGGGGCAGGGCGGGGCGGGGCTCCTGTGCCGTGGGGCGGGGCGAGGCTCCTGTGCCGTGGGGCAGGGCGGGGCGGGGCTCCTGTGCCGTGGGGCGGGGCGAGGCGGGGCTCCTGTGCCGTGGGGCGGGGCGGGGCGGGGCGGGGCTCCTGTGCCCTGGGGCGGGGCGGGGCTCCTGTGCTGTGGGGCGGGGCGGGGCGAGGCTCCTGTGCCGTGGGGTGGGGCGGGGCGGGGCGGGGCGTTGGCCCTGGGCTGGCCTCGCGGCCGTGGCCGACCCACTGCCGTCTGTCGCTTGCTGCAGTCGCCATCAACCTGATTGTGCAGCACATCCAGGACATTCTGAACGGTGACATCTGCAAGTGGCACCGAGGGGCCAATGGGAGGAGCTACAAGAGGACCTTTCCTGAGCCGGGAGACCACCCTGGGGTGCTGACCTCGGGCAAGCGCTCGCACCTGGAGTCCAGCAGCAGGCCTCACTGAGGGCTGGGGCGGACGCGTGCGGTCGGGGGGCCGGGCCTGGCACGCGCCTGCCCCCAGAGCGCAGCCACCGCCTCCTGTCCACGTGTTCCGGGGCGGTGCTGGGACCAAGGCCCTCCTCTGGCGAGCGGCGGCCGGCCGTGTCACTCGCACTCGGGGCCGGCGGCTGGGCGTTCCTGAGGTTTTCACCTGCGTCACGTCTGCAGGTCTGAAATCTCGGTCACGGTCACTGAGAACGCCACAGGGCTGTGCTTGCCCGCGGGCTGCCCTGAGGGGCTTCCGGAACCATCCGTCCCACACACAAACCCCGACGCCGGCATCTGCACGAGAACGCCGTCGGTTACGTGTTACACGGCTCCGTGCTTTGTTCCGTCTGCGGCGCGGGGCTGGCCGGGCCCTGTGAGCCGGCCTGGTGCCCCGAGGGCGCCCCACCTGCCTCGCCTGGGCGTCAGAGGCAGGGCCCTGGGGGCAAGCAGCTCCTGACCAGCATCCAGGTCACAAGGCTGGCTGTGCCGTGGCCAGGCCCAGGAGCCTGCGTGGAGCGGCCAGGCCTCGGCGTCTTCTGAGCCCGAGGCACTGTCTGGACAGGCCGTTCCCTGCAGAGCCCGGGCCCAGCCAGGCGTACTGACCACAGGGGTTCAAGGCCAAAGCCAGCCGGTCTCCCCCACGCCATCCCGAGCTCACAGCCCACAAAGGACCCTGTGTGTGGCGCCGTGCTGGCCTCTCGCGGTGCCGCAGGCGTGGCACCTGACACGGTTTTGCTCCGTGGCTGGTTTCTGACACTGTAACAGTTTGGTTAAGTTCATGCCCTTTTGGAGGGAGAATCAATAAATTTAATAACACCAATACGAATGGCAATTTGTCCTTTTTATTTATATAAAAATTGGCAAATTTGGGGCAAAGAAATGTACGGTGACCAAGCTTGACCACTGAAGATGGAGACGCCACCTGGGAGGATGCAGCCACACGGGGCCAAGGGCGCTCCGTGCGCCTCACGGCAGGGCTAGGAGTGCTGGGTCCCGCGGGTTCACGAGGCGGCTCCGGCCGACCGGGTCCCCTCCTTCCTGCTGCCTGGGGCGGTCCTTGGCCGCCAGCGTCAGAGGCTGTGGCGGGCCCGGTTCTTCATGGAGTGAACTTGGCTGAGGGTGCCCTGCCGACTGCAGGAGGAAGCAGGGCCGCGCAGGCTGCCAGCCCGGGCAGGCCGAGTGCTCAACGCTCCAGGTGAGCCCATCCTTGCTCGTCCCCACCCAGCACACCGGCTCTTTGCCACCACCTCGCTTTGCTAGTGTTTCCGGATCAGGATGTCCCAGCTGTCTTTCCAGCGGAGGGCCTGGAGTTCACCTGGGGAGAGCGACCGGTCTCCATAGGTCAGTGGGCGCAGTGTGCTGGACACGTGGCATGCGGACGAAAACCAGGCCACGACCAGGGCGCTGAACAGGCTCCTGTGCAGTGGGGACCTGCGGGTGTCAGGACAGAGGCAGCACACGGCGGGCTCGGCTCGGCCCTGCCAGGCAGGCCTGGCACCTGCCGCCCACGTGGCTGCCCACCACGGCCAGTGTGTTTATTGTGTGTTTATTTTTTATTTTTTGACAGAGTTAGTGAGAGAGTGAGTGTGAGAGAGAGAGAGAGAGAGAGGTCTTCCTTTTCCATTGGTTCACCCCCTAAATGGCCGCTACAGCCGGAGCTGCGCTGGTCCAAAGCCAGGAGCCAGGTACTTCTCCCGGTCTCCCATGGGGTGCAGGGCCCAAGCACTTGGGCCATCCTCCACTGCACTCCCGGGCCACAGCAGAGAGCTGGACTGGAAGAGGGGCAACCGGGACAGAATCCGGCGCCCCGACCAGGACTAGAACCCGGTGTGCCGGCGCCGCAGGCGGAGGATTAGCCTAGTGAGCCGCGGCACTGGCCAGTGTGCTCTACAGCAGGTGTTGAGGCCCCTTGTTTATCTACATGTTTTCTGCCACCCAATCACATCCTGCCTGGGAGCCCTGGGCACGGCCCTCCGTGCTCCTGCTGTCACCAGGGCTTCCAGTCCATCCATCGGCACGGGCCTGAGCCCAGCCACGTCACATCCGGTTCCCCTGCCGCACCCGCCCGGGGGGTCCTCTGGGCCAGCGCCCACCCACTGTGGCCCTGCAGTGCCTCGTGGGTACGCCTTGTGTGCATCGCGGTACCCACGGCACCTGTGGCCCTGCCCAGTGCCCTACCTGCACAGGTGGTCCCGCACGTGCTGCAGGACCACCGGGGTCAGGAGGAGCTGGAAGCTGAGCGCGGGCAGGTAGTGGTAGAGGAAGAGCGTCTTCTCGGTCAGGAAGAAGGGCAGGTAGTTGACGGCCCAGCCCCCGACGCACAGAGCCCCGGCCAGCAGCCAGCGCAGCCACACGTCTGCGAGAGAGGACGCGGCTCGGAGAGCGCCCCCGTGGGGCCTCCCAGGCCTTCCCTCATGAGAACTCGCCAGCCCTGCTGGGGACCACGGGCTCCCTGCGATCTGGCCTTGGCCACCTGCTCTCAGTGGGGTCTGAGCTCCTCTGGGAGCCGTGGGGGCACTCGCAGGGCAGGGCAGGGCGGCCATTCAGCTCCCCGGCCGGCCCCGGGACGCTGGCCCCACCCGCCGGCCTGGGGCGCTTCCCGTTCTGTTTCCCTGGGGCTTGCAGTGGCTCTCTCAGCTGCACACAACCCGCCCCCGCCAAGCAGGGGGGACCAGGGAGGGTGCCCGTCGGGAGGAGGAAGCGTGCAGACGAGCTGCGGGGGGGGGGGGGGGGGCGCTGACCCTCGGGGAGGTCGCGGATGTTCCGCCGCCGCCGCAGCAGGTACCAGAGGAAGAGCAGGGCGTAGAGCAGGGTGGCGAGCCCGGCCGACGTCCAGACCACGACGTTCCCCAGCAGGTGGATCTGGGCCTGCAGGCATGACGCGGGGACATGCTGCCGCCCTGCCCGGCTGCCAGCCCGGACATGCCCGCTGGGACGGGAGACGGGAGCAGGCAGCAGCCTTTCTGAGGGGCAGTGCTGCCCAGAGAGGGGAAGGGGCTGGGGTGGACGGGGCCTGCCCTCCCGGGCCTCGTCCTGTGGCTCGCTCAGTGACTTCCCCACCGGCCGCGGACAGGCGCACCGTGCGCGGCCTTCTGTTCTCCAAGGGGAAGCATCGGTCATGGAAAACCTCCGTGTGGACTTCCAACATTGGGGGTAGCGAGGTAAAGTTCATAGGAATTCTGGCTTGCCCAAGTAACTTTTGGAAGCGGCCACTCCAATATAAACAAAACTCCTGGCACGCTCTAGCCATGATGGTGCCATCCTCAGAGCAGAGGTCCAGACCCTTACACGCTCCCCCGCAACACCAGGCCGGCTAGCGCGCTGGCCCTCCGTCCTCGTCACCCGCGGAGGGCACTGGCAGGGGCTCGGCCGTCGCTCACCTCGTCACACAGGCCCGGGAGACGGTCCGCGCAGTTCCCGGGGGCCCATGGTCTAGACGGCCACTTACGACTGGTGCGGGGGTTCACCCAGTAGGCGATGTTGGTGTCCAGGGTGACCCAGTCCAGGAGGGAGGAGCTGTACTTATGTTGCGAGTCGTCACTTCTCAGCGTCAGCATCCTCCACTGCAACAAAGCCCAGAGCTGGAGACCCGACGGGACCGGCGGGGACCGGCGGGGACAGGCGGGGACAGGCGGGGAGTGGACGGGGACAGGTGGGGGCAGGGACAGGCGGGGACAGGTGGGGACCGGACGGGGACAGGCGGGGGCAGGGACAGGCGGGGACAGGAGGGCACAGGCGGGGACCGGACGGGGACAGGCGGGCACAGGCAGGGACCAGCAGGGACAGGAGGGGACCAGCGGGGACAGGAGGGGACAGGCGGGGACCGGACGGGGACAGGCAGGGACAGGCGGGGACAGGAGGGCACAGGCGGGGACCGGAGGGCACAGGCGGGGACAGGAGGGCACAGGTGGGGACCAGCGGGGACAGGCGGGCACAGGAGGGCACAGGCGGGGACCGGATGGGGACAGGTGGGCACAGGAGGGCACAGGCAGGGAAAGGTGGGCACAAGTGGGGACAGGTGGGGACCGGCGGGCACAGGCGGGGACAGGCAGGGACAGGTGGGGACCGGCGGGGACAGGCGGCCGCCCCCAGGGCAGTGTCAGGCCAGAACCAGCACTGCGCAGCGGGAGCCCCCAACCCTAACCCTGGCTGCAGCCGGGGGGCCCAGGGCTCGGCCACCCCTGCAGGACGAAAGACGGGACTCAGGGCTGCCCACGTGCCCCAGCCACAACAGGGTCACGCCATCACCCAGGTGTCCTGTCTGCGTGCCCGAAGCCAACAGCGCTGTCTGTGTCACTCTTGCGGGCCTCTGAGGTTCCGGGTTCCAGACTGCCAAGGTCAGGGCCCCGCAGACCGCAGCGCTGCCCCGGGCAGGAGCCGGCCCCGCCCCCAGCGCCAGGCCTCCCCGGCCGCACCTCACCTGCAGCTCCGAGAATCTGGCCATGAAGCTGAGGTTCCGGCTGATGTCGACCTGAGTCGGGGAGTGCAGCTCCACCTCCCTCTCCCTCTGCTCCTGGCCTGAGGAAAGAGGCGGACAGGCCCCACTCAGCCGGCCGGCCCACGGGGGAGCGGGGGAGCGGGGGAGCGGGCTGCTGGGCGGAGCCGGGGCCAGCCGGGGGCGGGACTCACTCCGGCCATAGCGGTGCTCCTCCACGTTCCACACCGTGCTCTCGCCCCGGGACACTCTCTCCCCGACCACCTCCAGCTGCCGGAACCCCCAGTCCGGGAGGTGCGCCCCGCTCAGCTGGCGACAACAGGGACAGACAAGGGCTCCGCTCAGCCTGAGCTCAGCTGCCGGTCCCTGTGGCCAGCAGCTGTGCCCCTGCGTGCACCTCCCACTTCCTCCCACGTGAAATGGACAGGGCGTGACCTGGCCACAGCTCCCACCCAGCAAGAGCTGCGGCTGCCTTGAGCTCTGTGAACGGACTCCAAGCCTGCGGCTGCCCAGGCCACGCCCACAGCAGGGGCAGGCGTTGTGCACGGCGGTTAAGCCGCTGGCTGGGACGCCTGCACACCTGTTGGAGAGCCTGGATTCAGCTCCTGACTCCGCTCCCTGTTATCGCAGACCCTGGCAGGCGGCAGGTAACCGGCTGGGACCGGCCCCTCCCCGGGCTGATCTCGCTCCTGGCTTCGGTTGGCGTCAACCCAGGCGTGGCGGGAGTCAAGGGCACAGCAGGGGCGGCCGCGTTCACCTTTAAGACGGCAGACGTGTTCAGGTGCACGAAGCGGACCTCCGACAAGATGGTCTTCCAGATCTCCGTGTCAGAGTTCCTGTTCACGATGTCCTGCGGAGCAGAGCGAGTCGGGCACCCCCTCCTCCCCCGATTTCCTTAACGACAGAAATGAAGACCCGAGCCGGGGACCAGACCCCGGACAGGAGGGAAGCTGAGGGGTCGACCCTGGACGGGGCTGGGGTCCTAGGGGCGTTCTTCCTGACCCCACGACACTGCGTGTCCCCCAGGGACCCGTGAAGAAGGGGTGTGGTCCTCCCAAAGACTGCACACGGCTGCTTCCCAGAGCCTCCAGGCCTGATGTGCGTGGGCCTCTCTGCGGCTCAGCACAAAGGCCGTGGGCCCAGAGGCGCGGGCCCTGCAGCCGTGAGGAGCCCGCTTCCCAGCCGCGCAGAGCAGTGAGCGCCGGCCCAGCCGCAGGAACACTGCAGCCCGACGGGCCGGTCTCTCCCCGGGAGACCCTGACAAGGGCACTTGCTGACCCCCGGGGGCTGGGGGTGTGCAGCACCTGCTCTCCGGGGTGAATGGTGAGAAGACAGGGGCACCCTGGCCTGGCAGGGCCACACCGAGCGAGCACAAGCCAGCTACAACCTCTGAGCAGGCGCAGGCCCTCCGCCCAGGGGCTGCGAGGCCAGGCAGGACGCCAGCCTGCCTCTGGCCCTGACCCCAGCTTCCTACTCCAGAGCCCCTGGAAGGCAGCAGCTGATGCCTCCAGTGGCCGGGTCCCCGGCACCACGTGAGTTCCCAACTCCCAGCCTGGCCCGGCCCAGCCCTGCCGCTGCGGGCATCTGGGGAGTGAGCCAGCACACGGGGACTCGCTCTCTCCATCTCTGAGCTGAGTGATGAAAGGAGAAGAGCTGGGGCTGAGCCCTTCCTCCGACCAGGAAGCCACTCGGAGGAAGGGGCTGCCCCCCCCCCCCGGAGACATGGGCGGTGTGCTGGCCCCGCCCCGGCCTCAGCGTTCCCCGCAGCACGCACCAGCCTCCAGAGGTTCTGGGAGGGCATGGAGATGTTGTAGTCGATGTAGCAGGACACCTCCTGGGCGTGGGGGCTCAGCGGGGCCGCCACGTCGTGCCTGGAAAACAACGCAGACGCCGCACGCTCGCGTGGATCCCCCAGCTCTGCCTCGCGAGCCACTCCTCCAGGGCCGGGCCACGAGTCCATGCTGCAGGGGGCTCTCGGGAAGCAGCCGCCGGCCCCCGGCTGGGGTGTGCCACGCGGCATGGCTGTGGCACTGGCCGGCGCCCAGCAACAGACACTGGGAGACAAGGCTGTCCTGAGACCCAGCGCACACCTCCTCCGATCCCTCACTCAGCCACGGCTCACCACGCTCGGCGCCAGAGAGCAAGCCGGGCGCGCCACGGGGAGACAGAAAGGACGCGTTTCTCAGGGAGGCAACGTCTCAGCCGCCCCCGGGGGACCTGCGACTCTGGCAGGGGAGCAGTGCAGAGGGCCTGAGGGGCCACACTTGGTCATCTGGGGCCAACATGGCGGCCAGGCCAGGGTGACGGGGTGGCACACAGCAGGGTCACAGAGGGCTCGGGCGAGGAGCGGGTCCCTCAGGCTGAATGGGCTGTCGTATCTGTCGGGGGCGAGGTGGGGGCAGGAGGCGGCCTCTCTGGGGTCACTTCTGAAGGTGGACACGGCAGATGACAGGAAGGGAGGGAATACAGCCACGGGCACGCCGGGGACCGGGCTCTGCCAGCGAGAGCCGGGCCAGTGCAGCTGCCTGTGGAGACGGCGGAGCTATGCCGCAGCTGTGGGTGCGCACGGGGAAGCTGGAGCTGAGCCAGGAACCCGGAGCCACCAGGGCTCTCCCGGTGAGCGCCCCTGGGAAGCTGGGTGGAGGTGGGCGGGGCTTCCCAGCAGCAGCAGTCGGCAGCCGGGGAGAGGTGAGCGCAGGAGAAAGGGCCTCGAGGCGGGCCCAAGACGCCTTCGTGGCTGTTCAGCCGCAACCTTAAACCCTTCTCGGAGAGTGGCCGTGTGGCCTGGCGGCCCGGATGCTGCTCGGGACGCGCACGGCCCACGTCCGCGGGCTAGGATTTGGGTCCCGCTCGGCCGGATGCGGCGCTGCCTCTGCCCCCGCCCCCTCCCCACAGCCGGCCGTGCGGCACTCACGTGTTAAGGAAGCGGGTGGTCATGCCGTGGACCAGCTGCACGAGGTCTCCGTGGCGCACGGGTCTCGGGGGGCTGCTCACCACCAGCTGGTGCCTGGGAAGACGTGGCTCCGTCAGGGTGGCGCCGAGCTCAGCGCCCTCCACGGCAGCTCCGGGAGTTCGGAGACACACAGCCCTCAGCCTCCCGCTGCCACGCAGCTCGGGAGAGGCCGTGGAGCACGCCCGGCGCACACATCCTGCTGGACGCCCCGAGACCCGGGCCACTTTCCAGACTCCCAGGGATTCCAAGGGGCCTCTGTCCACCAGGGCTGCTCCCTGTCCGTGTACGAGCGCTACAGAGGTGCGCACACTGTGACTGCGGCCAAGGCGTCCTGCAGCCAGAGCGATGCGTCACTCACGACAGCACCCATTCTGCAGAACTGCACCGAGCACCCGTCACGGCCCAGGGCTGAGCGCACGCTGAGCCAGCCGGGCACCGTCCACGCGGTGAGTGGGAAGCAGACAGTGAGCAAGGGACCCGCGCAAATCAGCCACCGTGCAGCTACGGGTGGGGAGGGCGGTGCCGCGGAGAGGCTGGTGGGGGAAGCCCCAGGGGAGCTGTCACCCTTCTGAGAAGGGGCCGCTGGACAGCACAGGTGCCCGCCCTGATCTGCAGGTGCCGAGGGGCAGGTGCCCACTGGGCAGGCGCTCGAGTCTGGGGCCAGGGGATGCTCGGGGAGGGGTGAGACAAGAGAGTCCGCGGGGGCTGTAGATGCCGAAGGCAGGAGTGGGCGTGGTCGCCAGGCGGCAGGGAGGCCCCCACTGAGGCCTGGGCAGGGGTGCAGGGAGGGGCAGGAAGAAGCAAGTCTGGAGGGTGGCTGTGAGCCAAGGGGAGGCCAAGGGACCGGGCCCTCACCGGCCAAGAGCAGATCTTCCAGGCCGGGGGCCGAATGCGCCCGGGAGGGAGAAGGGGGCGGCGCAGAGCGGCCAGGCTGGGCCCAGACCCGCGCTCACCTCCCGGGGTCCTTCACGATCCACCAGTTGTTGACGTCTTTGAAGGGGTAGCAGGTCACCTGCTGCTGGTGGGAGCTGCCTCGGCCGTTCTCGTAGCTGCGTGCAGAAGCCGGGGACGGTGTCTGCAAGGGGCCGGGGCCCGGCGCGGTACGCGGAGCAGGGGCAGAGCCCACGGGGCCACACTTGGAAATCTCCACCACACGGGGGACCAGAGCCGGGGCCCAGTGTCCTGTGCTCTCACAACTCCCCCACAGAAAGGGAAAGCCACGGCCGGGCCGGCCCACTGCTTACATCATGGGGTAGGTGTTCTGGTGAGAGTGAAGCCAGCAGGGCAAGGGTTTGCCGGAGACGCTCCTCAGGGTGACCTGGGACCCGAAGGCCACCTCCAGCGGCTGGCCCTGGGTGATGCGCGCAAGTCCTCCCTGGACAGAGAGAGAGGCGGGCAGGTGAGAGGGAGGGGACCCGCGGGCCCGAGCCCGGGAGCCGCAGCTGTCACTAATACGTAGCTGCAGTGACCTGTCCACCGTGTGGTCGTGTCCCACGACAGCACAGGACAATGATCAGAGCTCCTTCTGAGGCCGGGCACCCGCCCATCCCAAGAACTTACAAACATCCAGTGTGACAGGGGCAACTGCCGTGTCTGCGCGAGTGAGGAAACCAGGATTGCTGGGGCACCGCACGGCAGAGGGCCTGGTTCAAGTCCTCGGTACCCCACCTTGGGGCACCGCACGGCAGAGGGCCTGGTTCAAGTCCTAGGTGCCCCACCTTGGGGCACCGCACGGCAGAGGGCCTGGTTCAAGTCCTAGGTACCCCACGTCTCCTGTCTGGCTTCCTGATAATGCTCCTGGGACAGCACAAGTCCTTGTGTTCCTGTCTCACACACACGAGACCTGGATGGAGGCCATGGCCCCTGGCCCCTGGCTCCTGGCTCCAGCCTGGCCCAGCCTTGGCTGCTGTGTGCACTCGGGGAGTGAGTCAGTGAGTGGAAGATCTCTCTTGTTTCTCCCTCTCTCTTTCTCTCTGTTGTGCTGCCTTTCAAATAAATACATTTGAGGGGGGGGGGGAGAGGTAGATGAGGAAAGCAAGTCTTGGTAAAGTTGAGTCTGCCCCCGACATGGAGTGGCCATCGGCAGGCCTGCGCTGGGGGCTCCCTTGGGACACGAGTTCCAGATTTTTGATTTGTTCAGATCTGGGAAGTGTGCACAGACTAAACTGCCACAAAACTCAAAACTGAACCACATCAGCCCCCCCAGAAGTGTTTTATTTGGGAGCATTGTGGATTTCAGGTTTCAGATCGGAGGAGCTCAACCTGGCTGCGTTTGCAAAAGTGAATACCAGTGAGTGAGCGTCAGGGTGGGCGTGAGCGAGCGTGAGTGTGGGTGTGAGTGAGCGTCAGGGTGAGCCTCAGGGTGGGCGTGAGTGAGCGTCAGGGTGAGCGTCAGGGTGGGCGTGAGTGAGCGTCAGGGTGGGCGTGAGCGTCAGGGTGAGCATCAGGGTGGGCGTGAGTGAGCGTCAGGGTGGGCGTGAGTGAGCGTCAGGGTGAGCGTCAGGGTGGGCGTGAGTGAGCGTCAGGGTGGGCGTGAGCGAGCATCAGGGTGGGCGTGAGCGAGCGTGAGTGAGCGTCAGGGTGAGCCTCAGGGTGGGCGTGAGTGAGCGTCAGGGTGGGCGTGAGCGTCAGGGTGAGCATCAGGGTGGGCGTGAGTGAGCGTCAGGGTGGGCGTGAGCGTGCGTCAGGGTGAGCGTCAGGGTGGGCGTTGAGTGAGCGTCAGGGTGGGCGTGAGTGAGCGTCAGGGTGGGCGTGAGCGAGCATCAGGGTGGGCGTGAGTGAGCGTCAGGGTGAGCATCAGGGTGAGTGTGAGTGAGCGTCAGGGTGGGCGTGAGTGAGCGTCAGGGTGAGCGTCAGGGTGGGCGTGAGTGAGCGTCAGGGTGAGCGTCAGGGTGGGCGTGAGTGAGCGTCAGGGTGAGCGTCAGGGTGGGCATGAGTGAGCGTCAGGGTGAGTGTGAGTGAGCGTCAGGGTGGGCATGAGCGAGCATCAGGGTGAGCGTGAGCGAGCGTCAGGGTGGGCGTGAGTGAGCCTCAGGGTGGGTGTGAGTGAGTGTCAGGGCTGGGTGAGCATCAGGGTGGGTGTGAGTGTCAGGGTGGGCGTGAGTGAGCGTCAGGGTGAGTGTGAGTGAGCGTCAGGGTGGGCGTGTCAGAGTGAGTGTGAGTGAGCGTCAGGGTGAGCGTGAGTGTCAGGGTGAGTGTGAGTGAGCATCAGGGTGGGCGTGAGTGAGCATCAGGGTGAGTGTGAGCGTCAGGGTGAGTGTGAGCGTGAGTGAGCATCAGGGTGAGCGTGAGCATCAGGGTGAGTGTGTCAGGTGAGCGTCAGTGAGCGTCAGGGTGTGAGTGAGCGTCAGGGTGAATGTGAGTGAGCGTCAGGGTCTGAGTGAGCGTCAGGGTGGGCGTGAGTGAGCGTCAGGGTTAGTGTGAGCGTCAGGGTGAGTGTGTCAGGTGAGCGTCAGTGAGCGTCAGGGTGTGAGCGAGCGTCAGGGTGGGCGTGAGTGAGCGTCAGGGTTAGTGTGAGCGTCAGGGTGAGTGTGAGTGAGCGTCAGGGTGAGTGTGAGTGAGCGTCAGGGTGAGCGTGAGTGTCAGGGTTAGTGTGAGCGTCAGGGTGGGCGTGAGTGAGCGTCAGGGTGAGCGTGAGTGAGCGTCAGGGTGAGCGTGAGCGTCAGGGTGAGTGTGTCAGGTGAGCGTCAGTGAGCGTCAGGGTGTGAGTGAACGTCAGGGTGAATGTGAGTGAGCGTCAGGGTGTGAGTGACCGTCAGGGTGAGTGTGAGTGAGCGTCAGGGTGAGTGTGAGCGTGAGCGTCAGGGTGAGTGGGGGTGAGCATCAGGGTGAGTGTGAGCGTGAGCGTCAGGGTGAGTGGGGGTGAGCATCAGGGTGAGTGTGAGCGTGCGTCAGGGTGAGTGTGAGCGTGAGTGAGCGTCAGGGTGGGCGTGAGTGAGCATCAGGGTGAATGTGAGTGAGCATCAGGGTGAGCGTGAGCGTGAGTGAGCGTCAGGGTGAGTGGGGGTGAGCGTCAGGGTGGGCGTCTCCCGTGAGGCCCCTGAATCCGTCCCGAGTCTGCAGGACTGTTCTTCCCAGTGCTCTCGTGTGTGCGAGCCCAGCCCTCGCTCGTTTGCCTGTGGTCAGCGCCCGAGGAGCAGCTCAGAGACATGTGGCTCCCTGCGCCTCGACGTGGCGCCTGCTCCGGCGGCTCCATGGTGCTGGGTCTCACCTCCAAGCTGGCCTGGAAGGCACTGGACATGATCTGGTCGTGGGGCCCGGAGCGGTAGAGCAGCAGCAAGTGGACGTAGAAGAACAGCAAGTACAGGACCACCGGGAGGACCAGCAAGGCCACGGCGCGGGCGAGCAGGTGACAGAACACACAGACCTGCCGGGAGAGCGCGGGGGTCCCTCCTCCTCCGGGAAAGGGTCCCCACTTCCCGACGTTGCAGCTTAGAAAACGTTAGGGACAGAAACCCCAGGAGGTGCCCTCTGACCCCCACAGGCCGGCCCGGCGCAGCGCTGACGTCAACACGCACATGGGACAGAGCCTTGTCGCCAATCAGCTGCCAGGCGTGCACGGCTGCGACGGCCAGCACCAGCAGGTACGTGAAAACACCCATGTACTTGACGCTGCAAGAGCCGCAGAGGTGAGGTTCAGAGGGGACGCGAAAACCCTGGCAGGCAGGAACCGCCCCAGACACGGGCTCCGACTCACCCCACGGCACACGAACACGCCACGCCAGTCAGTGTCAGCCAAAACCACCACGCCGGAGAGAACGGGCTGCAAGGGAAGCAGGGGATGAAGCAGACGACGCTGGGAGCGGTGGCGGCACCGTCCCCGAGGAAGGTCCCCTGGCTGGCTGACCCCACTGTCGCCAGGGACACCCTACTTGTCTAGGAGACTTCTCCAGTGGTGCTCGCCACGGGATGAGGATGCGTTCATGGCGCCAGCCCCCCAGCTACTAGGTGACTCCCGGCTGACCCCCAGCTCGGCAAACCGCCCACAATCTCTCCCTCCTTTACTGGGACGGAGCCTCCCGCCCTCCCCGTACCTGTGTTTCTGGGAGTTGGAGAACTTCAGGTAGGACAACACGGCCAACAGGTTAAAAAATATTAAAAGCGATTCCAAAAGCATGAGCCGGGACTGGGTGATCAGGGCGTTCTCTGGCACAGAGACAGCACGCGAGTGTCAGCTTCACGAAGCAAGACAGGTGCACAAAGATGGGGAAACACTCCCAAAATGGCCAGAGACACCCCCGGGGGCCCCAGAGGGATGGGGTCCAGGAACCCCACAGACACCAAAATCTGCAGACGTGAAGCCCTTGTATGAACTGGCGTGGGACATGCGTGTGAGCTGCACGCATCTTGGGAAGACACACGGCGCAGACGCTGCATGAGGTGTCCGCCCACGCTCACTGCGGACGCAGTGCTTGTCATTTTTTCAGATATTTTCGACCACGTGGGTGAGCTTGCGGCTGCAGGACCCATGGATACCGAGGGCCAAGAGTGCTGGGCGTGAAGGCGGGGCGGTCAGAAGTGGGGTGGCTGCAGGGCGCGGGCTCCAGGCCTGCCAGGGCAGCGACGCTTGGTGCAAACCGCGCCTAAGTGACAGCGACCGCGAACACGGGCGGGTCCCCTCCCTTTCTGAGCGTTCAAGGGCTCTGCAGGGCTGCTGCCGGTTCCAACACGTGACACAGGCACGGGGCCGTGTGGAACTGTCACTCAACAAGCAACACCACGTCTGACTCTGCCTCTGTCGTCCGTCCATCACCCTAAGCGGGAGGATGCTTCCTGAAGAGCGCCCAGGGGGCCCGGGGCAGGAGGGGAGGGGAAGTCAGTGGGCAGCAGGCTTGGCTGGGGATGGAGGTGCAGCCCCCCACCCCGTCTTGCCACGGCCACAGCGCCACCGCTGCCAGTCAGACCACACAGTTAGCAACCCTAGGCCAAGGGGCTGGTGCGGACCCACAGTCAAGTCGGGGCGGACCAGACGCACCTCCTGCTCAGGCCCCCGACCCCGTCAGCTCACGGGGCCTCCCACGGCAGCGGTGCAGAGCCCGGGCGGGGTTCTCCTCTGCACAGCACCCAGCGCCCGCGGGAGCCCAGGTCTCACCGATGAGCATCAGCAGAGCGGCTCCCATGGCGGCGCAGTGCGAGAAGTGGAGCTCGGCCACGATCTGGTAGGCCAGGGGGACCGACAGGGCCCCGGCGAGTGCGGGCAGCAGGCGCAAGGACCACACGGGCACGTTGGGGCTGTATTCTGCAGAGGCAGCCACAGGGCAGAGCTGAGGGCGCCGCACACGCGCCGTCTCCCAGCCCACGGCTCATGGGCTCTGCAGGGCGAGTCCCAGAGCTGGGGCTGCCCCAGCAACCGGGGGTGGGGGGGCTCAAGATGGCACTGAGCTTCCCACGGCCAAGGAGCCCGCTCTCCCGAGCACAGTGAATGAGATGCAGGATTCTGATTCAAAACTAATGTCGTGCCGGCGTCGTGGCTCACTCGGCTAATCCTCTGCCTTTGGCGCTGGCATCCCATGTGGGTGCCGGGTTCTAGTCCTGGTTGCCCCTCTTCCAGGCCAGCTCTCTGCTGTGGCCCGGGAGTGCAGTGCAGGATGGCCCAAGTGCTTGGGCCCTGCACCCCATGGGAGACCAGGAGGAAGCACCTGGCTCCTGGCTTCAGATTGGTGCAGCGCGCTGGCCGTAGTGGCCATTTGGGGGGGTGAGCCAACAGAAAAGGAAGACCTTTCTCTCTGTCTCTCTCTCTCTCACTATCTAACTCTGCCTGTCAAATTAAAAAGAAAAAAAGAAACTAATGTTAGACTTACTTAAGAATTTATCCCACCTGCTTCCAAGAACATTAAAGCAAAACACAAAATCTGCCCGTATAAGAGATACCTGGCGGGGCTGGCACAGTGGTGCAGTGGGTTAATCCTCTGTCTGCAGCGCCAGCACCCCATATGGGCGCTGGTTCTAGTCCTGGCTGCTCCTCTTCCGATCCAGCTCCCTGCATATGGCCTGGGAGAGCAGTGGAAGATGGCCCAAGTGCTTGGGCATCTGTACCTGCGTGGGAGACCAGGAAGAAGCTCCTGGCTCCTGGCTTTGTGTCGGCTCAGCTCTGGCAATTGTGGCCATTTGGGGAGTGCACCAGTGGATGGAAGGCCTTTCTTTCTGTCTCTGCCTCTCACTGTCTGTAACTCTCTCAAATAAATAAACAAATCTTAAAAAAAAAAAAAAAAAAAAAAAAAAAGAGATAACTGGGGCTGGCATTGTGGCTCAGCGGGTTAAGCCACCACCTGTAATGCCAGTGTCCCATATGGGCGCCAGTTCGAGTCCCGTCTGCTCCTTGCTAAGTGCCTGGGAAAGAACAGGAAGCTGGCCCACGTACTTGGGCCTCTGCACCACCTGGGGGACCCAGATGGAGTGCTAGGCTCCTGCCTTTGGCCTGGCACAGCAGTGGCGTTGCAGCCTTTTGGGGAGTGAACCAACGAATGGAAGATCTCTCTCTCGGTCTCTTCCTCTCTCTGTAACTGACTTTCAAATAACTAGATATTAAAAAAAAAAAAAAAAGGGATATCCATGATCAGATGCCACACGATCCAGGCACGAAAGTGGGGTGAATAATCACCCACCCGGATTCCAGGGCTGTGGCCAGAACTTTCCCCGGCTGACCCCCGCCACCCTGGACTGACAGTGGGCTGCACGCAGCCCTCGCTCTCTGTTCTAACACTCGCACTTGAAGAGGGAAATGAAAATGACCGGTTACCTGCGCCAATTCTGTTCCACATAAAGTTTCCATCAAATCCTCCCATGTAACCTGGGAGGGAAGAGGGACCCGTCACTCCCTGCAGCGCCACGCAGGCAACGAGGCGCCGGGACACAGCCGCGGATTCCGCCGCCGCTGCCTTCCTCCCGGCAAGCGCTGAGTGTGCCCAGGCCCTGCTGGGCGGCGGCCGCCTACCTCCCAGCGCCAGCAGCATATGGCCAAACGGTGGTCCGCTGTCATCCAGGAAGAAGACGCGTTTCATGTAGAAAGAGATGTACTGCCCGTAATACACTTCGTCAAAACTGCAGGACAGACAGAAACACACACACGCTGCACCCAGCACGGAGGCGCCAGCGTGAACACGGGCTGAGCCGTGCGCCTGCAGTGTCGTCCACCCACAGGTACAGCCTGGCGCCCGGCACTCACTCGCTGGACCACACAGATTCTCTCTCTCTCGGGTCCTCCATCCAGGAGTGCCCGGCCAGCCAACCGACTGAAAGACCCCCCGGGCCCCGCGGGGGCCCCGGCCGGAGATCGAGGTTCTGAGTGGAGTCAGGCCTGGTGGCCGGGTCAGAGCTGCAGTACATGAGGAAGACACACAGGGACCATCGCAGCGAGAGGACGAGACAGCCGTGCAAATCTGCTGACCCCAGGGAACCATGACACTACTGTGTGCACACCCGTTTTGCTTCTAAGAATACTCTTTAAAAAAATATTTATTAATTTGAAAGGCACAGCTACGGAGAGAGGGAGAGAGAGAGAGAGAGAGAGAGATCTTCTATCTGCTAGTTCACTCCCTAAATGGCCACAGCGGCCTGGGCTGGGCCCAGCCGAAGCCACGAGGCAGGAACTTTCCCCAAGTCTCCCGTGCACTGGGGCCATCTTCTGCTGCTTTCCCAGGGGCATTAGCAGGGAGTGAGAGGGAAGTGTGACCACTGGGGCTCCACCAGGTGCTCGGGGGGGATGCTGGCTGCCCACACGGCGGCTCAGCCTGCTGCACTGCAAAGCTGGCCTCAGGGGTCATCGTCTTCAAGGGCGGTGTGTGGCCCCGTGTGAACACGCCCGCAGCCAGATCAGAGAGCCTGGGAAGCCGTGGTGACGCCTCAGACCCCTGGGTCCACGTCACCACATGGGAGAGCTGGGTTCAGTTCCTGGATGCCCACTCCCGGCTTCAGCCCAGTGCAGCCCAGTGCAGCCCTGGCTGTTGGAAGCATCCGGGGAGTGACACCAGAGGTTAGGAACTTTCCATCCTCTCTCTCTACCTCTCAAATTAAAAAAAAAATTAAAGATTTATTTATTTATTTGAAAGGCAGAGTTACAGAGAGGCAAAGAGAGACAGGGGGAGAAAGAGAGAGAGAGAAAGAGAGGGAGGGAGGGAGGGGAGAGAAGTCTTCCATCTGCTGGTTCACTCCCCAAATGGCTGCAACAGCCAGGACTGGGCAGATCCAAAGCCAGGAGCCTGGAGCTTCTCCCAGGTCTCCCACGTGGTGCAGGGGCCCAAGGACTTGGGCCATCTTCTACTGCTTTCCAGGCCACAGCAGAGAGCTGGATAGGAAGTGGAGCAGCCGGGACTCGAACCTGTGTCCATATGGAATGGGGGCACTGCAGGCAGTGGCTTTACTCACTGCGCCACAGTGTCCTCCTCCTCTTTAAGACAGATCATTGAAATGCAGAGTTATGGAGAGGCAGAGAGAGAGAGAGAGAGAGAGAATGTTCTTAAGACCCCTCATTTTAGAGGTAGATACCAGAGTATTTAAGAACACAATATAATGTCTAGGGTTCGTCCAAAGCCATCTATTGCGTGGAGGAGACTGGCTATGACTGGTAAATCGTGGAGGCTGGGTAAGGAATACGTTTTCGCCATTTTCCGTAATCGAGTTAAACAGCACAGAACACTACGTGAGCCAGGTCCCATCATGACAGAAAAGGCACGCCGTGACTGTGCTGTCCACACGTGTCACAGGAACACAGTGCGCGATGCACACGCGCAAGCACTACGCGTCACTGGAGTCACGCTCTGAGCACGCTCCCCTACCAGGACTCACGCCACGCGCATCAGTTCTCTTCCAGATCTGCACGTGGCCACCCGAGGCCAAGGGCCAGCATCTGCATCCTCAGAACACACGCCCTGCAGGCACAAGCCCGTCTCTCCTCCCACTGCCAGAAGCACCCTGCCCGGCAGCCCAGGCGGCGCTGGCTTACACCACGGCCCGCGGGTAGGCGAGCTGCCACAGCCGGCTCAGGAGCCCTGCTGCGGCCAGGGCCACGACGCTCAGGTTGACCTCAGCGGTCACCACGACGGGGCGCTTCAGAAACTCCAGCATCTCCTGGCTGAGCAGGTCGGGAGCAGGCCCTGGGGAAGAAGGGAGAGTCACCGCCACGCACCTCACAGGCAGGCGGTCGGGGTCGGGGAGGGGCTCAGGGCTCCTGCAGGTGCTGCCACCAGGGTTCAGGGTCAGGGTCTGGGAGGGGCTCAGTGCGTCTGCTGGTGCCACCACCAGGGTCAGGGTCAGGGTCAGGGTCAGGGTCTGGGAGGGGCTCAGGGCGTCGGCAGGTGCTGCCACCAGGGACCAGGGTCAGGGTCAGGGTCAGGGTCTGGGAGGGGCTCAGGGCGTCGGCAGGTGCTGCCACCAGGGACCAGGGTCAGGGTCAGGGTCTGGGAGGGGCTCAAGGCATCTGCACATGCTGCCACCAGGGACCAGGGCCAGGGCCAGGGTCAGGGGTCAGGGTCTGGGAGGGGCTCAGGGCGTCGGCAGGTGCTGCCACCAGGGGTCAGGATCAGGGTCAGGGCTCCTGCAGGTGCTGCCACCAGGGACCAGGGTCAGGGTCAGGGGTCAGGGTCTGGGAGGGGCTCAGTGCGTCTGCAGGTGCCACCACCAGGGTCAGGGTCAGGGAGGGTCTCAGGGCGTGGGCAGGTGCTGCCACCAGAGGTCAGGTTCAGGGTCTGGGAGGGGCTCAGTGCGTCTGCAGGTGCCACCACCAGGGTCAGGGTCAGGGGTCAGGGTCAGGGAGGGTCTCAGGGCGTGGGCAGGTGCTGCCACCAGGGTCAGGGTCAGGGTCTGGGAGGGGCTCAGGGCTCCTGCAGGTGCTGCCACCAGGGACCAGGGTCAGGGGTCAGGGTCAGGGAGGGTCTCAGGGCGTGGGCAGGTGCTGCCAACCAAGGCCTCCACAGACACTCGGGACGCCGGCGGGGACTCGGCGTCTCGGACCCACACTCACTTCAGCAAGTCCCTGCACGGACCTGGAGCAGCAAGACCTGCGCGGACCCTGACCCTAACCCCTGCGGGGCACGACCTGGAGCGAGACCGCCGCCAACGGACGGCGCGGCCGCCCCCGAGCCTCCTCCGGCCACATCGGCCTCGGACACTTGCTGCTGCCACCGCGGCCGCCTCCCCCTCCCCCTCCTCCCGCCCTGGGGGCCCCCTGCACCGAGACGCCCGCCCCGCGGGTCACCCCCACAGGCCGCACCTGCCTCCGACCGCCACCGTCCCCCGGGGCTTCCCCCGGCCCCGGGCGCCCCTCCACCCCCGCACCCCTTCCTTTCACTTCCCAGAGGCCCGGGTCCCGATGCTCGGTTCCCACACAGGCGTCGGCCCGGCCGCGCCCCCTGCCTGGAGGGACATGGCCGCCCCCGGCCCGCGCCGCGCTGACTGCCTCTTGGCCGGGCTGTCGTCCCCGGCGCTCGCAAACATACAAGCGTTTCTCCAGTTCCCGTAGAGTCGCTCCCCGCACCGGGACCACCTTGGAAGCGGACCGTTAGGCAACGGGCAGCTCGGAACTCTGCACCGCCCACCCGTCCCGCTCGACGCTCTACTCGCCGTGTCTGAGCCGCCTGGTGCGACGCGCGTGCGCAGTGGGCGAGGGCAGTGCGCGTGCGCAGGCGCGCGTGCGCATGCGCATATGGGTTGCGGCGGGGGGGGGTGGGGTGGGGAGAAGGAACTCATCCCCGGGGTATTGTGCTCGGTTTCAGTGCGCTCGCTCGGTGCGCCCGGTACCCCGCAGGGTCGCCGGGGTCCCGACGCCCATTGCAGCTTCCTGCCGGTGCGCACGGCCACGCAGGCGGGAGACCGGGGCCGGCGGCGCGGCTCGAGGGGTACGGGAGCAGGGCCTGCTTCGGGCCGGCTCGCTGCGAGTGCACTAGGAAGGCGGCGGTGTTCCCCGTGGGAGGCCCCGGCCTTGGCCTGTGCCACTTGGGGCCAGCGTCCGGCGGGCCACGCGCCGCCGCAGCCCCGCCCCCAGCTCTCTCCAAATGACCAAAGGACACGCGACCTGAGAAAGCATGTTTAGCTTTATTTTTTTTAACTTTTTTTTTTAAATTTAAATAAGGAGAATTCTTTCATATGGAAAGAGCTAGTACAATCACATATTTGAAAGGAGAAACAATAGGTACTGAACCGGAGGGAAGGGGCAGGGTGAGTGCCAGCGCCGCCTGGCGAGTCCTCAGTTCCAGTGCCCATCCAAGGCCAGAGTCCCCGGCCGCGGACGGGCGGGCTGCACAGCGCACCGCGAGCCATCGTCCGCCCTTTCAAATATCTGGTCTACGTGACAGACGAGAAAGGCCGAAATAAAGACAAAAGGAACGAAACCAAACACAACCTTCTCGAACAAAGCCACCCCGCACCCTTTACCGCGCAAGGCGCGAGCAGGGTCCCCCCTGGACGAGACGGCCAGTGGCGCACGCAGAGCCCGGGGGCGGCCGCAGCCCTGCCTCCTCACAGGCCCCCCAGGGCAGGCCTGCTCTGCAGGGGAGAGGGGCGACCCGACCCTGCGGGGAGGGAACCGGGGGCGAGGCGGCCGCTCACCACCCCACAGCCAGCACCCCGGGACCCCTAGAAGTGGGCTTTTCCTCACTGTGTCATAAAGTCATCCTGTCCCCCCCCCCCCCCCAGGAACCTACACCCAGACCCCACGTCTGGAGACGGTCACGGGAACAGGGAGGGGCGGGATGAGGAGCAGCAGACCACACGCAGAGCGGGTCCAGGGCCTCCCCTGTCCCCACCGAGGCCCGCGTGCACCTGTGCTCCCAGGGGCTTGAAATCAAAGCGAGACCCTCCATTCCTTTGCCCACCACCGTGAGCTCGGCCCTCCAACCCCACGGAGGGACGAAGGGAGCTATTGCACCTTCAAACGTCTCCACACTGAAAACTGCGCTCCGTCCGACCGTGGGGAGGGAGGGGGCCGGCGGGAGGCCGGAGGCTGCCTTCTGCTCCCGCGGTCTCTCCAAAACCTCCCAGCGGGGCAGCCTGGACCCTACATGCGACCTCCGGGCCTTTCCGGCAGAGTAACTGAGACGGCAGATAAACAGAGCGGTGACACGTGGACTTCTCCTCACCTACACCTACGACATCAATACATATAAATAAATTCTAGTGTTCTGTTTTTATTTGGGTGTTCGGGGAGGAAGGAGAACACAGGGCAGAGAAAGGGCTGGAGCGGGCGACCTCTTTTATTTGGTCTCCAACAGGAAGTGCTGTCTTTCCAGTGGCCGGTGCACCCGAGGGCACGTCTCCGAACAGCGTCCAGGACGGTTCTGGGTTTCCTCCTTTGACAGACGTCGGCGCCGGCCTCAGGGCTGAGTGGGTCTGGCTGTGTTCTCACGGGCACAGGCGGAGGTGGACGCGCGTGGCTGCCGCTGACCCAGGCTCATCCAGGATGGCTTGGCAATGCGGTGCGGAGGGGGCGGGGCAGACGACTCACCACACAGGGACAGCGACCAGACACTTGAAGGAGAGCCCTTGCAGAGGGGCAGAATGACGAGGGGCAGAGACAAGCGAGGGAGTCTGGGGGTGGGGCCGGGGGGGAGCTGCTCAGCCCACAGGAGACAGCAGCCCATCGGGCCCTTCCTGCCCACACGGCCCCCACTCCACTTGCTGGAACCAGTGAGGAGCCACGGGAAGCCATGTGAGCAGTTGCAGATTCTACAAAAACCTTCGAGGCCAGAGCCCGGGCTGCTGTCACACACGCAGGTGACAGCAGGGCCCGCTGCCCGCTGCCCGCGCTCGAGCCAGGCCTTTCAGAACTGCTGGTGGCCAGAGGTGGCAGCTCCTCGAGGTGGGAGTTCAGAGACCCGAAAGCGCAGCTTCCCCTTCACTGTCCTTGCGAGGGCAGAATCTGGGTGACTGCTGCTGCCCAGGGGAGCCACGGCCGGGAGCGCAGGCTGCAGCGGCTCCCACACTTCGGGAGAGCTGGCTCCGCAGCCAGAGGACGCCGTCCCTTCTCGGAGGCTGCCGGGATGCGTTGGAAGTGTGGTGGGCCCTGCCCAGCTACGTGCCAATGGAGGATGAGTGGGACGGACAGACGCTTGAGCTTAGCTTAGGCCTGCTGCCTGCCCTGCACACGTGGCCCCAGAGATGTTCACAGGGGCTCGCCACCACGCGGCGGCAGTGACGGGCTGCGTGAGGGCTGCAGGTTCAGGGACCCAGAGGAGCAGAGGCTCGGGGGAAGGAGGCGAGTGTGACAGCACAGCGGCCGGAGGCAGAGTGCACGTCCTGGCCAGCCTGGGACCCGGCCGCGACTCTGGCTCCACGATTCGTCTCCGGTGCCCGCCATCAGGCGGCAGCCTATCCGCTGGCTTCCTGGAGGAGCCGAGGACAAGTTCTGTGCCAGTCTGATCATGCTGAAACGTCCTTCTCAGGTCAGGGGCCGGAGCCGGCTCACCTCACCAGGGGCTCCCGTTCCTGTCCTACCCGGCAGAGGGGCAGGGCTGCGGGACAGAGTGCAGGGACACCACGGGGGGGGGGGGGGGGGGGGGGGCGAGGAGCGTAGAAAAGTTCAGCTGTACAGGCGGAGCTGGCGTGGTCTTCCTCTCCTCTCCTCTGTAAAAACCATCACTGCTTTTAAAACAAAAAGCCTCCAGCTGAAGTGACCCTGCGGCCTGGAGACTGCGCGGCGCCCTGGCTGCGCGGAGCAGGACGGAGGGGCGGGCGGGCGGCACTGCACGGAAGGCGACGCACTCCACGGTCACGCGGGTAGGAGGACATGGGAACGAGGGAGTCGTTTGCTTTTTTTCGTATCAAAGCAAGCAGGTCAATGCCGTTTATCCACGGGTACAAGCTGGCTGACGACGGAGCTTTCCGAGCGGAGGACCGGAGGGTCCAGGGACGCTCCCGAGCGTGGGCTGTCGCGGCGGTGGCGGCGCTGTCCTCGGAGGCGAGCGGCCGCTGGGCGCCTTCAGGCCTTGCTCTCCTCCACCTTGACAGCCCGGGGCTTGATGGCTCCAGTTCGCTTCACGTGTGAGGCAGCCGAGGGCGCCTCCTGCAGCGTCACAGCTCCCAGGCTGGGCTTTTCATCCACTCGTTTTGCCTTTGGACAGACGGAGGGGGACAAAGAAAGTGACCCTCACGCAGAAATACATCTGAAGACACAGCTCCCCCCACTCCCGCCCTGCTCCTGAGTCGCAGAGGAAAGCGACCCCGAGTAGCGGGTGCCTGGCTGAAGGACCACACCCCAAAGGCACTTAGGGCCCTAGCGCACTCTGGCTGGGACGCTCTGCTCCCTGCCCACAGGCGTCCGGAGGCAGGAAGAGCCGGGCCCTCTGCAAATTCAGCAATGCACACTCCAGGCTGGAACATTTCTGGCCCCACGGCTGACTGGAAGAACCTCTCATGTCAGTGCACCCCACGCCCTACGGGCAAGAAAGCCCCTTCAAGTATCTGAGCATGCCCCACGGGCCCTGGGGCCCAGCTGCCTGCCCGGCAGGCTCAGCTCTCCCAGATCCCTGACCACGACTCGCCACACTCCCACCTTGGAAAAACCTTCCCCAGGACCCTCACTTGACCGTGGGACTTCCAGTCTGGGTTCCACGTCTGCACAGCAGGGTGTCACAAAGGGACCAGTTGCAGTTCTGACCATGACATGTGGCCTGAACTCTGGGAGAAAGCTCTAGAAGCCATTCTGTATGACTCAAGTGGTGAGCCCCAGGGGAACCACGTGCGGAAGAGTGAAAGGAGAGCAATGGCGCCCCCACAGCCAGACTGCTGACAGTTCTTAACAGAGGCCTGGGGGGCCCGAGCGCCAGGCCCGGCACCCACTCCTGAGGAGCCATGAGGGGCGCAGCGCGGCAGAAGACCCTGAGGAAACCTCCAGACCACACCACGCGCACGCCTGCTGCCCTGAGAGCCCACCCAGCCACGACACACACAGGACCCGGCACTCACGAGAGCTAGCACGCGCAACTCCCCGCGGGCGTCCAGAGCCCCCCACAGGCCTAAGCGCATCTCCCCAGGTGCCGGCACAGCCCCGGAATGCCCGGCACAACACCTCTGGCGGCACCTCCTCGGAGGACTCAGCACCCTCCCTTCTCTGCAGGACAAGGAAGGATCCAGAAGCCCGGCAGGCTGCCCAGCTCCCCGCCCCCGCTCCAGCTGCTAGGGCGCGTTGCTCCCTGTACACAGAGGAGCACTCCAATAGGCGGGCCAGCCCTTCTCCTCGGTGCTCGAGGCGGGCCTAAGGGTCCAGGGCTGGAAGGTCTGGAAAGCCATCTTCTACCTGTTGAACGTAGTGTCCCTGTACAGAGCCCATGTTAACTGCTGATCCACAGGGCTTCCCACTGGGGCTAGCAGAGCTAGGCCTGAAAAAACCAAAGGCAGGGGTTGAGAATACACGACGTGTCACCACAGAAACGGAGTCAAACCCTGGCCGGAGCCACTCGCTGGGATGGACACCACCAGACACAGGAGAGCCGAGTGCAGATGGGTAGAGGGCGCTCACCACCATCCGCCCTGGCGCCCTCGAGACACGGCTCTAGGAGCTGCATCCAGGAGAGAAGAGGCCCAGGGCCTGGGAAGGCCAGGCAGACAGCGACCGCCTCAGGGTCGGAGGGGCTGGAGCAACGTGATGGGATGCAGCCCCGGCCCTGAG